AGCTGTTTGATCGGTCCTCATGCAACACGCATGCACCTACCATATTGTCACGGGGTCGTGACGTGGCCGAAGACAGGAGACTTCGTGTTGGGATTTAACTGTTTGTTTGGGCGAACCTGTGCCCGGTAAACGGAAAGTCCAATTACAGCAGCAGTCTCGCACAGATAGCAGTCTCGGACTGATAGCGGCGAACGGAGCGTCGGCCTTCGATCAACAACTGACAAGCGGCGAAGCGCGTCGGCATTTATACTCTTGCCGTCGAATGTTCTAGCGTTATCGCTGGCGGTGGCGTAGGTTCCAGAACAATCTGTACCGTTCGCACAGTGGGCGTGATCTTATCGAAATGATCTACTACAGTCCGGAACCCTCTCGAAAACTGCAGGCGTGGTTTGCGCTGAGAATCGTGTGGTGTTTTGGGACGATAACAAAAGCTTGGAAAATGGAACGTGGCATTGCCCCCCTCTGAAAAAGGCATCGTCTCGATGCTTTACCTAAAGATGAAGGTACAATAATAATGCAAGAAAGTACAATGAATAAATTACAATACAACAATTATACAAAAAAAGCACTGTTTCAGTTTGTTAACGCGCATGAAACGGCTTTAGGCGTGCGACATGGACGGCTTCAGGTAGCGATCGTCGTCGTTGAGAGTTCGTGATGCCGTCGGGGACAACCTCGTAATCAAGTGGGCCGAGACGTCGAACCATCCTGTACGGTCCGAAGTACCGTCGCAGAAGCTTTTCACTTAGTCCACGTCGGCGTATCGGCGTCCACACCCAAACACGTTCACCGGGCTGGTATTCCACGAAGCGTCGTCGAAGGTTGTAACGGTGGCTGTCGGTCGTCTGTTGATTCTTGATACGGAAGCCGCGCAAGTTGTCGGGCTTCTTCGGCGCGATGAAGGTACTCACTCGCATCGAGGTTTTCTTCGTCGGCGACGTTGGGTAACATGGCATCGAGCGTCGTTGTCGGGCTCCTTCCGTAGACCAATTTGTATGGAGATATCTGCGTCGTCTCCTGCACCGCCGTGTTGTATGCGAAGGTCACATACGGAAGAATGGCGTCCCACGTCTTGTGTTCGACATCGACGTACATTGATAGCATGTCGGCGATCGTCTTGTTAAGCCGCTCGGTGAGGCCGTTGGTCTGTGGGTGGTACGCTGTCGTCCGGCGGTGGTTTGTTTGGCTGTATGCCAAGATCGCTTGAGTTAAGTCGGCAGTGAATGCCGTTCCTCTGTCGGTGATAAGGACCTCCGGGGCGCCGTGACGTAGGACGATATTTTCGACGAAGAACTTAGCTACCTCGGATGCACTGCCTTTTGGCAGGGCTTTTGTCTCGGCGTAGCGGGTGAGCTAGGTAGTCGGTAGCTACCACGATCCACTTGTTTCCGAAAGCCGACGTCGGGAATGGCCCCAGTGGGTCCATACCAATCTGCTGGAAAGGTCGGCAAGGTGGATATCAATTGGCTGCAGAAGTCTCGCTGGCCTTGTCGGCGGTGTCTTGCGTCGCTGACAGTCCCGGCATGTCCTCACATAACGAGTGACGTCGGTGGTAAAACGCGGCCAGTAGTACCTTTCTTGTATCCTCGCGAGCGTGCGAGAAACACCGAGGTACCCTGCCGTCGGATCGTCGTGCAGGGCCTGCAGGAGTTCTGGTCGCAGAGCTGAAGGCACCACAAGGAGGTATATACTTAGCCCGAAGCGGTGAAAAGTTTCTTTTGTAGAAGACCGTTTCGTAGAAAAAACGACGCAAGTGTGCGCTTGAATACCTTCGGGACTTCCACGGTCCTGCCTTCGAGGTATTCTATTAGGGCCTTAAGTTCCGGGTCGGCCCGCTGTCGTTCAGCGAAGTCGTCGGTAGTGATCGTTCCCAAGAAGTAGTCGTCATCCGGGTCGTCGGGTGGTGGTTGGTCGACAGGCGCACGAGAGAGACAGTCGGCGTCGGAGTGTTTTTTTGCCGGACTTGTAAATGACAGTAATGTCATATTCTTGAAGTCTCAGGCTCCATCGTGCGAGGCGACCTGAAGGGTCCTTCAAAGTGGCTAGCCAACACAAGGCGTGGTGGTCGCTCACAACTTTGAAGGGCCTGCCGTAGAGGTATGGGCGAAATTTCGACGTAGCCCAGATGATGGCGAGGCACTCCTTTTCTGTTGTGGAATAATTTGCTTCTGCTTTGGATAGCGATCGGCTGGCGTAACTAATAACCCTTTCAAGTCCGTCAGCCCTCTGCACAAGAACGGCGCCAAGACCTACGCTGCTTGCGTCCGTATGTATTTCTGTCTCGGCGAATTCGTCGAAATGGGCAAGTAACAGAGGCGTCTGGAGGCGATGTTTAAGCTCCTGGAAAGCGTGTTCCTGTGGCGTTTCCCACTTGAACTCCACGTCAGCCTTGGTAAGGTTAGTGAGAGGATCGGTGATGCGGGCGAAGTTTTTCACGAACCGCCTATAATAGGCGCACAGGCCCAGAAATCGGCGCACGGCTTTCTTGTCAGTGGGCGGCGGGAAGTCGGCGATGGCGGCTGTTTTCCGTGGATCAGGACCAACTCCAGACTTGCTGATAACGTGCCCCAGAAACAAGAGCTCTTCATACGCAAATCTGCACTTTTCTAGCTTCAGTGTGAGTCCGGAAGTCTTGATGGCTTGAAGTACAGCTTCAAGGCGCCGAAGATGCTCGTCGAAACTCGAGGAAAACACGACGACGTCGTCCAAGTACACAAGGCAAGTCTGCCACTTCAATCCTGCCAGTACTGTATCCATAACGCGTTGAAAAGTTGCAGGCGCTGAGCAAAGGCCGAAGGGCATCACCTTAAACTCGAAGAGGCCGTCCGGTGTTATAAACGCCGTCTTCTCTCGGTCTTTTTCGTCGACTTCGATTTGCCAATAGCCAGTCTTAAGGTCCATTGACGAAAAGTACTTGGCGTTATGGAGCCGATCAAGTGCGTCGTCTATTCGTGGGAGAGGATACACGTCCTTTCTTGTGATTTTGTTCAGGCGGCGATAATCGACGCAGAAACGTAGGGTCCCATCCTTTTTCTTCACTAACACCACGGGGGATGCCCATGGGCTCTTGGACGGCTGGATAATGTCATCCCGCAGCATTTCATCAACCTGTCTCTTCATGGCCTCACGTTCTCGCGTCGAAACCCTGTACGGACTCTGACGGAGTGGTCTGGCATTTTCTTCGGTTATGATGCGATGTTATGATACATCTGGTGGAAGATGCTGCTTCGTTCATGTACCGCACGCCCCCGTCAAGCCGTGTACCCAGCACCTCCACCAGATGTCACGGGGTCGTGACGTGGCCGAAGACAGGAGACTTCGTGTTGGGATTTAACTGTTTATTTGGGCGAACCTGTGCCCGGTAAACGGAAAGTCCAATTACAGCAGCAGTCTCGCACAGATAGCAGTCTCGGACTGATAGCGGCGAACGGAGCGTCGGCCTTCGATCAACAACTGACAAGCGGCGAAGCGCGTCGGCATTTATACTCCCGCCGTCGAATGTTCTAGCGCTACCGCTGGCGGCGGCGTACGTTCCAGAACAATCTGTACCATTCGCACAGTGGGCGTGATCTTATCGAAATGATCTACTACAGTCCGGAACCCTCTCGAAAACTGCAGGCGCGGTTTGCGCTGAGAATCGTGTGGTGTTTTGGGACGATAACAAAAGCTCGGGAAATGGAACGTGGCAATATATCCGCGTAGTACATGCATCAGACCAACATTCACAAATCGCGTTCCAAAGGCCTTTATTTTATGCTCGTTGTCATTGCTTGTAGATTTGGTGGCAAACACTTCGGGCTAGTAGGTGTTAATTCTGTGCTTCGGGCGAATGACGTTAACTACTCGACAAGCACGGATAAGAAGCTCCTGAACACGGCGACATCACAGGAATTAAGAAAAGCGGCAGCGACTTGCGTATGAATACTTTTTAACAACAGAAAGCGACCACGACCCCACGGGCAGAGGCGCTTCTCGCCATTTCAAACAGATTACAGTCCAATCCAACACCAACATCGGAGAAAAAAACATCACGACTAGAATACGATGAACCCGCCACAGACTGTGTGTGGTGGTGGTAGTGGTGAGAATGAAGAGGAAAAAGGCACCTAATTTCTGTCTGCCTTCAGGCGACACAAGCTAGTGAGGAACTCTACCTGAACCACAGAATAAAGAACGCCCAATTCGTCTGAAAAATGTTTTCCAACACACCGATTCTAACGTCACCTATTCACACACTTTAAGCCAAGTCAAGCCGGTTTTAAGCGGCTATTGGGTGAACCGAACGCTTTTGCCTCGAAAAGGTTCGTGCCACCGGGGGAACCGAAACACTTCCCACTTTTTTTCTGGTCTTCAACTCTCAAAGGCCGTACTTAAATAACACGCTTCGTGTTTTAAAACTAGAGGACGCTACAAGCCTACAAACTTTTTTTTTAAGCTTAGTACACAACAATGTTATTTAGTAAAAATTATTGCAAAAAAATATCCCCCGTGCCAGTATAAGTGGTTTTTAAACAGTAATTGTGTGACAAAATTGACTTCATTTAGATAAAGTCACTGCGATTGTGAGCCGGCTGACGATTGGCCGGCGAATGACATGAGGTGCTGTCGTCTGTTCGTTGCCGGGCGCCCATTGGTCGGTCTGGAAGTCCGCGGCAGACGCATCGTGTGTGGTGCGAGTGGTGCGAGTCGTCCGCACGATACGGCCACTTGTGTTGAAACTGGTGCGTGGTGTGTGTTGTGTGGTACGCTACTACTTTTTGGGCTACCTCGACCGACGCAGCCAGGTAAGTCTTGCACACCGCCGGTGTGGCCTGTGCATCGCGTTTGCCCTGTTTCTGGGCCTCGAACAACGTCTTTCCGTTTCGAGCGCCAACTGCCCCGTGCACGAGCGGCGGCGGATTCTCGGGGTCGTTCCACGCATGTTTCTCACCGCCCGCTCGTAGAATCTAGACGGAAAATGCAGCGGCCTATATATATATATATATATATTTTTTACTCACTTGAGGAAGCGGGCAGGCGTTTTCCTCATAGCTGTCCGAACCGGTCGACCAGAGCTTGGCCACTTGCTCGCGTTGTTGCTAATACCGGCGCATTCTGTAGTTTTACGCGGCACTCGCGATTCCGGTCGGCCCGCGTCACGCGCTTCGAGATCGTGCTTTTCAACGCGTCATGGGCGCACACACTGTTCTCTCCTGCGGTAAACTGGCTGTGAGGCTACATAAGTGATAAATTCTCGGCACCTTGAGGATCTGCTACTGGCGATGCATGCCCGTATTCCGGGTGCTTTCAGCCTCTCAGCGCAGTAAATAATTATGCGCGAGCGATATGGCAAAGGTCGCCTTTTTTTTTTTTCCGTCCACGTCTGACGATGACGGCGTAGTCGGTTTCCTGCTAATTTTTCCACGGTGATTACGAGAGAGAAAAGAAAGCGCTCGCCTTTCCTTGTCACACTGCCGTGAGAAACTCACGGTACTTTGTCGGCGCTAAATGCTCTCTCAAAGGCTGGAGGAAAAACGCGCATTGGGAAGCGTGCCTCGTCGCCGGTGCGGCTGCATGTGTCTTGGTATTTAGGATGCGAAGCATTCGCGAACTGTAGTGCGGCTGACCAACCCTTCCGTTACCACATTTCCTCGTCTCGCGCGTCGATCAAGACTCCTTTGTGGCTTTGAACACATGGAACAGGCTGCCTGGCGTTATCGGTGGTCCCAAGTAAATTTTATTCCAGTCTGAATTGCGGGTAAAAAAGGGAAGTGGCCATTTCCCAACGAGATTTCATTTTGCCCTAGAGGAAAGTTGAGAGCTGCGGAGGATGTCGGCCCATCTGCTCGTGTGGCTTTGGCAGGCACATAGTCTCGGGCTCCACATGACTTTGCAGTGTAGGCGAAGGATGCCGAATGGTTAGAACGAACTTCACGTTCATAGTGGCAAGTTTACGTTCATGCACCTTGCACGTCCTTTTTTTTTTTTTTCTGAGGCTCACTAACGTGGACTACAAGAACCTTGCGGTACTGGGGTGACACCAGACAAATCGCCATTGCAGCAGCAGCAAATTTCGCCCGTTATGCCATCTTGGGGCCCCCCGGCGGATCGACAGTACTGCTCTTCTGCCTGCCACCAGGCAACTGTGTGCCCGACGTTGTGCAGCTCGCCAAATATGCAATCCAGAAGCGATTCACGAGTTAGTCCTGGCAGCTGCGTTAGAACAGCTGACTTGCCTCGATCCGTTTGCATTCTGTTAGTTGCCCCACATCGAGTTGCCTCGCTCACCTTTCTGGAACGCTATCTCATGCTAAGAGTGTGATTATAAGACTAACCAGGATATTTGACTTAACATTTGTGAATGGTGGAAGTGACATGTGCCATTGGCCTATCTAAATGGTTGCGTCATTCTGTGTGATGTAGAGAGAGTTTTTCCAACGATCGATTTTCTACGTACATTGGCGCCTCTCACAAGCACATAACAATTCACAGGGTGTGCAGAGGTCCTTGAAAAAACCTTGAATTTGAAAAATGCATTTTCAAAGACGTTGAAAGTCCTGGAATTTTTTAACATCCTCGAAAATCTTCGAATTTCGTGAGCGGTGCACTCATTGCGACCTTTTAAATGGGGTAGATCAGTGTGCCAACCTGTAAAACTCCCCCTTTTTGAAGCAGTACTGCGGCAAGGCACACAAAACTATGTTTTGTGGTGAGCGTGAAGCGGTGATTGCCATAAGCAAAAAATCGGAATGTCGCACGATGAGGGCAAGAAACTCCATACATGCAACACAATGCTCAAGCATAAAGGACGCACAAGACGAGTGCTGCTGAACAAGTGTCGCAGCTTGACTCTGGAAGTGTGCTGCCTAAGCACCAAGAAAGATGCTAGAAAAGAACGCACATGTATCCACAGGATGAGTGTAAGTTAACACTGTCACAGTAACTTCTTGGTTGATGAGCAATTTTAAGTCACTTCCAGTCACTTTTAAGTCACTTTTGTTGAGCAACATAAAAGTGCCATTATTCTAACATGGTCCAATAATCTATAAAGTTGCTATAAAAAGTGCTATAAAGTTGGTCATTTCTGAAAATTTTAGAGTAAAAAATTCTAACTTAGCATGCCGCTTTGAGTCCTTAAAAAACTTGCATCAGGCCCTCGAAAGTCCTTAAATATCCTTGCATTCTCGCTTTGGAAACCTGTTCGAACCCTGACTTGGTTTCTTATGTTTTCTTTAAAATTGGTTTCCGGAGCTTTTTAGGGACATTATTTCCAAACTTTTTTCTGAACGGGCTATGAACATACATGGGGAAAAGAAAATTGGATTGGGTAGGTTTCTGCATTACCCAATAAAAACCAGTGCAGTATCGGATGACGAGAGGCTTTGGCTGTCATGAAAGCAACGGCTGCTCCCAAGGAAAGCTCACTGTAGAATATCTTCAGTATTGCAAGGAGAAGTACGACAAATCTATGATGTAACACAAAAAAGCTGGTGTACCCCATACAACACAGTGAAATGTACTGTTTCTTGAATATTTCAAAACCAGCCATACAGTACTTGAGAAGGCAACACTTCAGGCATAAAATTTCACTTGAATGATCATATGAGTGCCTTCAACATCCAATGCTTAGTTTAGATCATTTCTCCCATTAAAAATTGAAAGGAAGGAAAATAACTTTATTTTAGTCCTGCGAAACGTGACGCGAGTCGCACACCCGGCTCAGTCCCACTAACATTCAGGTTCTTTTTCTTCTCTCTTCTTCAAGCTTTTTATTAAATTACCAGTCCTATTCTTGAAAGGTTTGACTGCACTACTACTAACAAATATCCAGAGAGAGTAAAGAACAGAACCCTTTACTTTCTCGTTTGTACTAACACAGTTAAACCTTTGAAGAATGAACGTTACCGGACTAGCCCAACTTGGTGCTCTTCTACAAGGGTTGTACCAAAAGTAAGGCTCTCATATTTCTGTCAACTGTTATTAATTACATATAATTGAAAAGCTTACACATTTGTCTTTTTTTCAACATAGTTTTCATTTTTCTGGCATGCTTTTGAAGACGGTGCTTCTGCTTTTGTAGGGTGCACGTTAAAGAACCCCAGGTGGCCAAAATTTCCGGAGCCCTCCACTACGGCGTCTCTCATAATCATATGGTGGTTTCGGGACGTTAAACCCCACATATCAATCAATCAAATCCTGCTTTTGTATTCCTAAGTCGAAGAAGTCTCCCGCCAACTCGTTGAGGAAGTGTGTGTCCGCTGCCCTGACTTCATCCCCGTTCGTGATCGGCGTAGGCGGTGAACCAGAGTGATGCCACTGACGAGATTGTTGTTTTGCTTCGGAGGTGTAACCCATGTTTCATCTCCTGTGACGATTAAGTCCAACAATTTCTTGTTGTCTTCCTGCACCATTTGCGGACGTGCTGAACAGACATCCACTTTTCACCATAAACCTCAGTCAGATGCCCATATGTCTCAAGTGGTAGCTATCTTGTGTGGAGAAAACAGATTACTACTTATCAATCGGCACTTTCATCTATGATAACTACCAAGGGACGTAGTGAATGGCAGACGAGTGGGCGAGTTGCTATGTTGTCAGATTTAACCTAGCACCTTTCTTCGAGTCTGCAGATCGTTGAAAACCTTACTTTTGGTGCCACTCTCGTAGCAGAGATGTGTAGGAGTTTCATGATGTACTTAGAAAGGTGGGACGCATAACTGTTTTTATGAACAGTTGCTGTTTTGATCCGAAGTCTTCATTCTCAGTAGTGCTTTTGCATCGTAAACAGTTAAGCAAGCTTGTACAGTTCAATGCTCTTGAAATGTTTTTGGTGCAATGCCATGCCTAAATAGCATAATACATCTCATGCAGACTTCCTTTACAGGGGCCTGAATGGCAAGCATTGTCAGCTAAGTTCGCCAAAGACTGTGCACACTAATAAAGCGGGAAATCACTTGGTTTGGAATTTTGGGCATTCTCAATTTCACCTGCGCGTGTTTCAGCTGTGATGCACCTTATCGGGCAGGGTTTAGTAGTTCCATGCAATTTCTGGGCCTTTCTGTAATGACACCTTTTAAGCAAGTGTTTCCTGGTATGGCAAACCTTGATTAGGATAAATAATACCTGCATAAACACTGCTCTAGTAGTTGGACTCAGATTGCAACTAGTGTCAAGTCACTTTGTCATGGTTCTGCAAAGTGAGGACATATTTATTGTGAGCGTTTTGTGTGGGGTGGTGCAGTGTATGTGAAACCGAAAAAGGCTGGTGTTGACAATATTTTCTTCTAATTTAGCGATGCTACAAGTTCAGTTGCTTAGACTAAATCATTAGACATTAGTTCAAAGGCACCAATAAGTGCAATATATGTAGGGCTCCGTGTTCTTGGAGTTCATTTTTTACAGCGAAAGCTTTATCAGATCACAATGGCAGTGGTAGTGGGGTAGTTGTCCGCCGCTGCTGCTTGTGTCCATAACCGCTTTCGCTTGAAATTAGAAAAACAGAAATTGAACCAGAAAAAATGTCTAGGGAGCATCAATCACTCTGTCATCATCATTCAAGCATGAGGAACTCTTACAGGGGGTAAGATCAAGCAATGGAGTTGGCCTGAGCAACGTGGCTGTTATTCATTGCTTCCACCCGCTATCTACCTAGCCATTGTTAAGCAGTCACTCTATGCTCTGGGCCATGAGTCTGGTTGAGGCCCGTATTAGTGAAAGCTGTGTTGAAGTCACCACAAAAGCCAATTTAGGTGCCGTAGTTAGAGGCTGCTGCCAACGATAGTGTCCATAACTGCTACGTCATCGCAAGAAATAAGAAAAATTGTATCTTACTGGAACGTGTTGTTAGGCTCACATAGACTAAAGAAAGCAGGGGACAGGTTAGGGCATCAACTTGCAAGTAACTTCATTTGAAAAAAAAGCTTCTTTTTATATGCAGGCAAACATGTGCACAGTCAGTTGTGCAAGACATGGGCGGACAATCCCACGTTAAGACGTCATGAAAGCAAGACATCGAAAAATTGTGCTTCAGATCTACGTAGTGTGAGAGATTTGACTGATACGCCTCACTTGACATTGATGAAATACGCCTCCAAAAGTTCTTGAAAGAAAATTCATGCTCTCGCAACTTGATATTGTCACATCTGGTAGCCAATGGTATCTGACTACGATATTATGCGAACCCACTAAGTGTATTTTATATGTCTAAAAGGTTTGACTACATACACACAAGCACAAGTACTTCAATGCGAAACACCTAAGTTTGTTTGTAATAAAATGTTAAAGCCCA